TTAGTGTTTGTTTCGTTTTCCCGATCTTGTCCAGGCTCTTCTCCGAGGAGCCACCAGGGTTATGGCTTGGTGTGCTAGGAAAGCTTGGGTCCCAGCTTTTCTCAGTGGAGCCAGTTTAAGGTTCTGCAGTTCTCCTGTTACCATGTCTTGTCTCTGTTCCTCTCAAACACTGGGCCCGCCCATCTCCATCTGATTCCTACAGTAGATCCCTGGATCTGTTTGTTCCTGTTTGGATCAAAACCCCTGGTCAGGCTACGGACCCCTTGATATCCGAATAGGACCATCAATAAATTATAAATCAACTACAAAGTTAATTTAGCTCTTTGTATGAGGATGGGTTTTTTCTTAAGTGTTTATTTCTGGTAGCAATGATATTTAAGCCTTAAAGTTAATAACAAATAAACATCTTCCCTTAAAAAACAGATATAGTGTAAACCCAATGATTTCTTTTCATTTTTAAGGGAGAAATGTTACTGTGCTTGATCCGATGTCACATTTGCCTAAACCAAACCTATGAAGAATTTATAAGGTATTGCTGAGATGAAATTCAGAACCACTTGACTTATCAATGCAGAACAGTTGACTCTTACACTAAAGCAACCAGGGCTTCTATAACTCCTTCCTGAACCCAGAACCTTCTTTATGCCATACCAAATGTATGCAGTAATTCAAGTAGTGTAATAGGAGTTCCAACCAAATAATGTGTGCATGTAAATGTCATTTAGGAGGTCTGATATGTCTTACCTTTCAAAGTGTTCATTGATTTTTGAATAGCATTTGTAAGAAAAACTGGAAAAATTATACAGACTTTAATATTTTTCAGCCATATTTCACAATTAGATTTTTAAATCTCTGTAATAACTCTTCTCAAAATGTGGTTAATTCATAGCATTTGTTTTTTCCCTTGATCTTATATATTTGATTAAAATGTTTAAATAAATTGTAGTAACATTGAAGGCACAGATTTGTTTTGTTATAATATTAAGATAAGATTTGGTTTAGTATTCATTGCAATGTGTATTTTTTATCTAATTTGAAATGGAGAAGGCTGGCATTGGTGTCTTTGAATTATTGTCCTGCTGCATTACCTAAGTTCTTTTGATCATTTGAACCTAATTTAAGATATTGATGGTGGGACAAATCATGTTCTGCAGATTATTTATTAAATTATCCTGATCCTGAAAAAGCAATCCAGCCAACGCCATCACACTGGTGCCAAATCAAATCAATGCTATTTAATGCTAATTAAATGTACAAGATTAAAATGCTTTTTCCACCTTTAATTTAAAACAAATTGAAGATTTGTATCAAAAATACTATTATTATAATTAAAATAAGTGCAAAAATTATCAGCAACAAATCAAGTAAAGATAGATATGTAAAAATAAGAAACAGGAGATGACAAAAATATGGCAGGAAGTATTGTGTATATGTATTCATTGACAGATGATGTACCTGTACCCTGGTGATTTTGTCTATAGGTATGATGTTCTTTTCTCCAAGTTCCAAGAGGATATGTTAGCCAGAAATTCCAAAATGATTTAATGATTTGATTTAATGATTTAGTTTCATTTGTCCATACACCATATTTGCAAAATTCATGGGGATCATCACATTGATTTTAGAAAATATGTAAAAGTTCTTTTGGTTATTTCTAAATCAATATGCCTCTAAAATAAGCAGCATTTTCAACATAGGTATAACTAAGGCTAGTTTAGCCTACAGTGCTTTGTAAGTTCTTTGAATGTCCAGGATGAATAGTCAGCGCTTTTGGCATGGTTTCCCACCATCCCACCTTTTCTATTTGTGGATAGTGCATTTTTCTGAAGATTGCCGGAGCCTCTAAGCCCAAAATGCTTTGTAACCCTTTATGAACTGATTATTGCAAATTTCATTGTTTTCATTTGGGGTGTTAAATTGTGTCATACATGCTGATTTATAAAATCTTGGAGCCTGCTTCATGTTGTCGGACATAAACTATGTCTTAATCATGCAAGTATTTCTGAGTATTGCAATTTAAATCCAGTGAAACCTTGTTTTAAAATTAGATTGAGTTGCTGAAAGAGTTAGGAGTGATTGTAAGACCATGTGGAATCTGATCTCACAAAAATGCTCCAATATATTTAAATGCCTGATGATGATATACCTTTGAACAATAGTTCAGAGGAATGCCATTGAGTTATATTAAACACAGTATGCTGGTACAAACTGCTCTAGTTAAAAAATGTTTCAAAATGAAGTTTGTGAAAAATATATATCTGAAATGCATAAGTAAGAAGGTCTCAAATGCTCCAAAGTTATCTGCAACTTTTACAGCATTAAGTATTTTTGTAAAGCAGCACATATACTGGTAACATTTTTTTTTCAGAATTTGAGGACATCTCACTATTTACCAGCTCAACATATCTCTAGTCTTTTTTTTTAATCCAGCCATCTTCCCTCTCTCCCGCTTTCTACAGCTGCTGCTCAGAGCGTTCCTTCACAGAGTGGCTTTAATTATTTATTGCAATGATTTATTCAGCTTTGCTCAACATAGAAGCTGCAATCTTCATCCTCCAGTTTCTAAGTTTCTCTTGCTTGCTACTCCAAACTCCTTTCCCATTCCACGTCTCTACATCCTGCTTTATTTCACTTTCACTCACTCATTTCAACTTCTCTTCAACCATGTTTTTTCTTGTTTCTTAGACCTCCTCTTATCCAAGGTCCTTTTCTCTAGATATCACTCTGAATATTTTAGAATGCTCTAATCTGTTCTCATGGCCTCAGTTTTTGATACTTGAATGTTTAAAACCTTGAGATCCATTTTGTTTTGCGTCTTGTAGCTTTTAATATCAGCTTAAATCTTGTCTTCTGTTCTTGTTGTAGTGATGTTGAGTATTTTAATGATTGTATCTTTTCCTTTTTGTTTTCTATTTTTTGGTCTTTTGAACTGTAATGCATAGTGCAAAGGTATTTAACCTCTTCATGCTTGTTTTACATTTTTCACAGTATAACCTCAACAATACTGTTTTAATAATAAAATGTAAAACATACAAGAAAACGACAGCGAGTCCCACTCAAAGTCTCAACCAGCTGATCAACAAAGAGAGTATAGTACAGAGTGAATAATAAAGGTGAGAACAGAACAGACACCAGAGGCTGCAAACACATGCTGTGTCTGTCAGGGCAGCCATGCAGAAGCATATCGGTTGGTCTGTTTATTGGTTTGTTAGCAGGATAACTTGAAAGGTAATCAATGAATGAATTTTAAGGAAATTATTAACAGAGGTGCGCCTCATGCCACGGAACAACTCAATAAAATTTGGAAAGAATGTGCTAGTTTTAGTTATGGGTGTAAGTCCCACTATAGGGCAAATTTTGCTGCTTGGCAGAGATCTGTAACCTTGCACTGCAAGCTGGATTTACCCAAGATCTACGTTTTCAGTCTCACAACAAATTCATCTTGAAACACTCCCGCTAAACAATCACAACAACTAGCGAGTTGGAGCAATGACATGCCAGCAGTGTTTTTTGGGGAGGGACATATACGTAGGAATGACGACAGTCAGAAGGGCTCTGCCAGGGCATTAAAAACAAGGCTATGCTGGAGGCTCCCCAATTGATACCACAATTGACTTGGTTTTATCTGAAAAAAACAACAATTTCTTGTCTAAAAAAGGAGCAAAGAGAAGCACTTTGTGCATTTGTAGATGTGTAATGTCTTGATTCCCTGCTACAGTACGACTGGCTTAAAGCGTATGATGGAAGACAGGTACTAGCTTGCACTTCACCAAATCAGCTCAAAGTAATGTACTAAAATGTTGTACTAAATGAACTCAACTCAGTTCTACACATATCAATTTGACTACTGCCAGGTTAAGAGATCTGTACTCTATGAGTGCTTTTCCAGTTATGTAGAGTTATAAAAAAAAAGTTATCCTAATTAGACTTGAATAGATGTTAATGTGATAAAGTAAATAAAATGTCCTTCACCCTCACCCAAAATGACTTGAGCAATTTTCTTTCTTTTGCATGCAAAGTTTTCTGTATGGTAAATATGTAAAAACTAATACTACAACATTTAAAAGTTACCACCACCACGGAGTTACTTGGTGGTTGCAAGACTATGCCATATAAAGTTTTTTTTTCAGTAGCTTCATGAAGTGTAAGATTTGTTTTTTGTTGCATTGTGGTAAGTATGAGATGATTCTTAAGGGAAAATCAGCTAAATTTGGGACCGCGGTGGAAACTTACAGATATATGACCGGATTGCGGCCCTTTCTCAATTTCTTAAGAACGTTGATAACAATATTTGAAAAACTATTTTCCTCCCATCTCTGAACTATGCTTTTGGCATACAGTATCAACATCACATTAAGTCACAGTCTAACACATTGAAGCTTTATGGTTGTTACATATCAACAAACAAAAATTTCAGTTGGTGTCATCACTTCTGCATAGCTTTTCACTCAATACTATAACCACGTTGTGTGTAAATTTGTCACACTGTCAGCTTAAAATTTCTCAGAGTTTTTTTTTTTTCTACTAATTTATTCTGCTCATGTTAACTTCATAAGTAGAGTTAATATGACAGTCCAAAAAATAAAGAAAAAATATGGGGGTAGGTTCATTCCAGAGATGCATTTTAATGCTTTCAAGACTGAATGTTCTCATTAGTTTAGAGGTAAATTCCCCATCTATTTCATTGTCCTTATTAGAGCAAGAGTTCTGCATGACTTTAAATACCATTTCCCATCCCTAGTTTTCATTTATTTCATGTAATGACCTGAAGTACAGCCTCACACTTGCTGTGCCTTTTACTTTTTAATTTAAGCATAGCCTGGAGGTGAAAAAGCCACTTCAATGCAATATATTTAAGGAATGCTCATAAAATCTCTTATTTCTCTAACTCTCCAACCCTTTACCTGCCCTTGAATGCTCTATCCGTTTGTCCCTCCTTTCCTCCCTCATTCCTCATTCCCATCCCCATGTTTGTATGTCATGTTTATGGGTGTTCACAGTGCATGGGCAGTGGGAGGAGTGGTCTTCATGGAGTCTGTGCTCTGTGACCTGTGGGCGGGGCTTCAGAACACGCATCAGGAAATGCATGGATGGAGGTGGGGTCAAACCTTGTGGACAGCCCGAGATTGATACCAAACCCTGCAACATAGCCGTTTGTCCTGGTTAGTACCATCCCCATTGACCTAATTCACCAAGCCTCTTTCTCTCCTTGTTGATAACTCATATTGTTTTCCTCCAGTTTTGTTCATGAATCATTTCATATGACCTGGTCACGAAATCTTAAATTTGCAAACATTTGCAATTATACCTTGTTTTGTTCCGCCGATCTCCTTTTGACTAAATTTTCCTGTGCATTGTTAATTTTTTATTTAAAAAAATACTTTCAGATTTCTTATTTGACATTATCCATTGTTTCTTATTTTATATGGCTTTTTTTTCACATAAAATTGGGATTTTACTACTCTATTTATTACTACTTAACAACACCAATTAGCAAGTCAACATAACCATTAGAGTAGATATTGAATTGAAGTATGAAAAGATAATTACATTTTTCAATATCACTTCAGTTTGCTCAATTTTAAAATGATAAAATAATTTGTAGATTATTTTACCTTCCCACTTCTTTAAATGTGAGACTTTCCTTACGGAAAATGTGTCTTTAGATGATATAGGAAAGACCACATTATGTTGTTTTAACTTGCAAGCTTCTACCAGGTTATTTCACCACATTTGAGTTAAATGCACACCTTTGGGTGTATTTGAAGGCATGCTTCTTTCGTATGCGAGATCATGGAAAAATCTAAATAAATCTGCCAAGTTATCAAGAGGACATCTGTGGGCAAGTGTACTATCCTTGAGTGATTTGCTACTTTCTCAGTTAAGTTCAACCCAGCTTCTGCTACTAATATAACAGCATGTGTTTCTCCAAGCTAACAACTAAGGTTGGCGAAAGGTTATGGCTAAACCTGCTGGACGCACAGAGAACTGATTCATACTGAGCTTTGATAGCAAAGGTTCACTCACTCACCTTCTGTACAACCCAGGCTGTGACTGAATCAAGATCCACTTCCACACAGAATATCGCAATTTCATTGAAATAATGTACCAATTTACTGAGATAGGATAGCCATGATCTCTAATAGATGTAATCTGGATTTTTGTTTTCATAACTATTAGGTCTTTTATTTAAAAAGTCTCAATACTCATATACTGTATGTAAACTTGAAGTGTTTTTCCCTAATTCCTTTTTGAATGAAGCCCTTTTCTAAGGAAGTATGTGTGTTACTGCAGGAGGTACTTATTCCCTTCACCACATAGATGCAATCAGAAGAAGTAGAAAGAAACAGCATCAGTAACAAGGTTGTACCCTGGCTTTGGGACAAATTCCTTCTAATAGTTCAGTTTCCTGAAACATTGTGATTCTGAATCGGAATGCAGGCTTTAAAGCATGAATTGCTGTATAATGGGCAAATGTATATAATGTCTTTCACTAGTGAAATAAGTTACTGAATTTGACGAATGTTTCAATAATATTCTAAATAATATAATTTGACTGTAATAGTTTGAACTGATTTTGCCTGCCAAGGTCCCAAACTGACAAACAATAAATGAGGCTTTCTGACACACATATGAACTTTTATATAAGCAAAAAAAACACATCTTTCTTTATTTCCCAAGAGTATGCAACAATAATCTGGTTTTCCTTTCCATCTGATTTGACTCGATTACACAACTACTAAAGTAGGACACATAGTATAAAAAAGACATGCTGCTTTAGTTTAAGCTTATTGCATGTCTAAGGCTAATCATCGCTTATCAAAATGATACACTGAAAAAGTTTAATTAAAATTATGTAGGATTCTTGCCCAGGTTTTTATGCTTGTAAGCCAAGAATGCAGCAAAATGCCAATCTTCCTACGATCTACCCGCCTCCTTATACTTACCAGTTTCATCATTATCAATTCTTCTGAGATTTAATCCTAATTTTGAAAATTACCCCACTTCCAAAAAAGCTTACTTTTTGTACTCTTCCTTGCTGGCTTGGCTAAAATGTCTGGCCCCTTGGATAATAAGTCTCTTCTCTTAGATACCCATTAGCTCTATTTCTCAAATACTATTTTAGCTCTTTCTTATTCTTTTCTTGCCACAGCCCGTATTGCCAGTTTCTTAGATTGTCCAGCTGAAATGTATTTCTATGCCTGGAGTGGAAAATAACTCACCGGTCAAGACATAGTTAAGTCTTAATTGCAAAATTCTGAGGCATGCCCTCAGTAACATCCCAGATATGTGTTAATATCAAAATGTAAGACCAAAGGGTTGTCTTATTTTTGACCTTTATTTTATTGCAGATTATTCTCATGTGTTCATATTAGATTTTTTTATACATAACGCAATTATAAAAAGATTACCATCACAAAAGAATATTCATTTCATGGATTTAAATTACTTTGGTATTCTGTGTTGTCAGACAAATGGATTCGGAGTTGGAATAGAGTTTTTAATGGATATACAGATATTAAAAACATCACACAGCTTAAGAAAAGCGATGTCTTCTTTCTGACTAATAGCCTTTTATTTTTCCTGAATTGATTTCAGTCCGAGTGAGTGTGTTTGCTGGGTTTTGTAATCGCCTAAAGCCGTAGAAATGATCACAGTGTAAGTGCTTCTTATTTGGTAAGATTAATGCTAAGGAGACCCTGTCATTTTCCACTCTTCCATGAGTGCAGCTGCAGCCTGAATCTATGATGTAGCCTTATTTAAATTTTTCCTCGTAACATTCCAGGCTAAAGTTTTTGTGTTTTTTTTCTTTCATGTTATTTAATGCAGAGGTTTTATAAGGTCACTTTCATGAAACAAAACTGTCACCGATGGCGCTAAAAAAAACAAGCGATAAAGTCTTTTTCAAAATAGGAAAGCAGTGGGTAATGCCTTAATTTAAAGTTGGTCCTGCGGCTTATTTTTGCCACACAGTTTTCTCAACAGTTGATGTAAAGTGAAGTTTGGTAGGAAGCCTGTGCGCTTCCTTGCATTGCCTTAGGGTAGTTTATTTATTTGTGTTTATGTCACAACAGCTTGCATTTGGGAGAGTAAAGGCGGTTGTCCTTTGATATGCTGAATATCAGAACAGTCCTTCAGCATAGCTGACCACAAAATTGAAACTTTGATTGTTAGAGCTCATATGCCCAAAACTGTACATCACTATTTGATGTTAACTATGAAGTTCAAGTAAAAGACTAAATCTATTTATAGCTGTTTGACTGACATGGTGAATCCACTTGCAGACCTGGAACTGGAGCAGTCTTAGCTAAAAGAGAACTAAACATCACTGAACAGAGAGGAATGCCTGCAGTTTCCCCTTCTAAGCATAAGCTTCATTCAAAAGAGGTTATAGATAATGATTCAAATCGCCAAAAACAACACCCATACAACAGAACAAACCCAAATGATCCAGATAGATGACATTTGGATCACTGAATCGACTTAAGCTGCTTTCCCACTGAAATAAGCTAACAACCGACATTTGGTTCCTTTCCCAAAGAGCTGGGTCTGACTCCCGCTGGAAAGATGCATATAGCCTCTATTCCCTACTGCTGCGTGTCTGGTGATGCCATCACACTGTGTTAGTAATAATGATGTTATCGGGGCTACAGAAATCAGGAAAATAAACAATGGAGGGCAATATGGAAGGGAGCAAGGGCATAGTCAGTGTGCTTTATTGATTTGCTCTTTTGCCCGTCCGGATCTGTCTGAATTCAAGCAGAATTTTTTTGGCTTGGTGAAGCCATGTTGTGACTTAAATACCTTGTACGCAAGGGTATCACACAAATTTGTGGGTGGACCTTGGTCTGGTGTTCCTACTTTATGCCGACAGAGCAGAGCCACTTAAAGGCCATTTTGCCGATTGGTTTGATGCCGGTTGGCGAGCTGTTCCCATTGCCACTAAAAAATATTCTTACCGGGTTTCATTAAGTTTTTTGACCAGTAGAAAATGGGTAAAAGATTCCTGGATAAGCGGAGAGAGGGTTTCATTGAAAACTGAGGGAAAGTCTAGTTGCTTTTGATTTAAATCTGTTTTGTGGTCACCATGACCCAGATGACTGAAAATCCGCACAGGCAACATGACTAAGGATTTTGAAAGGCATAACTGAAAAAGTGGGTTTATTAGTTGGATATTTGATATTCCCACTTTGCAAGATTACAGGGTTGTTTCTTGAAATAGACCTGATGTATGCAACCTGTTATTTGGCAGAGTTAGAACCAAAAACTCTTATGAAACAAAAATGAATTCCTTTTTAGTTTGAGAGTCTGTATAGAGCAAAATAGGAGACAAATTTGATATATGTGGGAGTGATTTAGGGCTTTTTAAATACAACACAATTTATTGCTCGTGTTTAATTCGGAAGGCTGACATGGCCCCTTTCTTTTTATTCTGTATTTCTTTCAAGCATGGTGAATGATTTATAAATTGTGAAGTTATATTTGGTTTGACCAACTTCATTTATGGTGGTCCTTAATAACAGTGTAGCCACTCTTGAGTTCTCTCTGCACATCTTTGGTGAACACTTTCTCAATTGTTCTTATCCCATGGCCCATGCCCAATCAGGAATCACATTTCTGGCTCAATTTTAAAAAAGCCAGTGAGTCTCATTTTCTCATCCTGCCTCTTACATGTAAATCTAGCTTTTAATGATTATTCTCCACAGGTTATGTCCAATACTTTTTACAGAAAATAAAAGTCATATACAACTTACATGTGCAACAAGTTAACATAGGAAAATATATTGTTTTCCAACACAAATAGAACTATGCTGGGATGAAACAGAGTACAAAGCAGTGACATGCTTTACAAACACACAAATGGAAGAAATAACAGTCTGTAAATGGAGGTTTTTGATTTATGTTCCTTTAAATGCATTTTGAAAAAAATGTCCAATCTTTAACACTGTCAGATTCACACTCTGACCATAGCAAACAATTCATTCAATACAGTTTGCCCTTGCTCTAAGCTATTTCAAAAAGTCTCACAAAGCAATAATTGCCAATCATCACCATCAGGGTTTGGTAATGCCTTCCCCTTTCAAAGAAATAACATATTTACAGAGGTGTGCTCTATCTGCCTCCTGAACTTAATGTTCTCAAAATGCCATCATAAACAAAAAAAAATATATTTTTGTAAATTACTGCATTTGTTCTGTAAACCTCAGTTTCTTATATTTTTTGTGGTCTCTTCTGCAGTACAGACAGAAGGCTTCACTAAAATACAAAAGTTAAAATGCACTGACCTCTAATGCTAGTGTGATATTTTAAATGAAACTTGCAAATTTTTCATTTGTGATTCAACATGATCAGGGTATTGAAAGTCAAAATTGAACGTTGACAAATTATTAGACATTGTTTGCATGTGTCCTCTCTCTTTTGTTCTTCTGTTTCTCCTTTTAAAGTACTCAACCAATACAATGTACAAAACAAAATGTATCAAAAGATCTGTTTACCTTGAATGACTTTTTCATAAATGCCTGCAGTATTAGCATTAAATTTGTCAGAAGTATGTACACTATATTGCCAAAAGTATTTGCTCACCTGCCTTGACTCACATATGAGCTTAAGTGACATCCCGTTCCTAATCCATAGGGTTCAATATGACGTCGGTCCACCCTTTGCAGCTAGAACAGCTTCAACTCTTCTGGGAAGGCTGTCCACAAGGTTTAGGAGTGTGTTTATGGGAATTTTTGACCATTCTTCCAGAAGCGCATTTGTGAGGTCGCACACTGATGTTGGACGAGAAGGCCTGGCTCTCAGTCTCCGCTCTAATTCATCCCAAAGGTGTTCTATCGGGTTGAGGTCAGGACTCTGTGCAGGCCAGTCAAGTTCATCCACACCAGACTCTGTCATCCATGTCTTTATGGACCTTGCTTTGTGCACTGGTGCACAGTCATGTTGGAAGAGGAAGGGGCCAGCTCCAAACTGTTCCCACAAAGTTGGGAGCATGGAATTGTCCAAAATGTCTTGGTATGCTGAAGCATTCAGAGTTCCTTTCACTGGAACTAAGGGGCCAAGCCCAGCTCCTGAAAAACAACCTCACACCATAATCCCCCCTCCACCAAACTTTACACTTGGCACAATGCAGTCAGACAAGTACCGTTCTCCTGGCAACCGCCAAACCCAGACCCGTCCATCAGATTGCCAGATGGAGAAGCGCGATTCGTCACTCCAGAGAACGCGTCTCCACTGCTCTAGAGTCCAGTGGCGGCGTGCTTTACACCACCGCATCCGACGCTTTGCATTGCACTTGGTGATGTATGGCTTGGATGCAGCTGCTCGACCATGGAAACCCATTCCATGAAGCTCTCTGCGCACTGTTCTTGAGCTAATCTGAAGGCCACATGAAGTTTGGAGGTCTGTAGTGATTGACTCTGCAGAAAGTTGGCGACCTCTTTGCACTATGCGCGTCAGCATCCGCTGACCCCGCTCCGTCAGTTTACGTGGCCTACCTCTTCGTGGCTGAGTTGCTGTCGTTCCCAAACACTTCCATTTTCTTATAATACAGCTGACAGTTGACTGTGGAATATTTAGGAGCGAGGAAATTTCACGACTGGATTTGTTGCACAGGTGGCATCCTATCACAGTTCCACGCTGGAATTCACTGAGCTCCTGAGAGCGACCCATTCTTTCACAAATGTTTGTAAAAACAGTCTGCATGCCTAGGTGCTTGAATTTATACACCTGTGGCCATGGAAGTGATTGGAACACCTGATTCCAATAATTTGGATGGGTGTGCAAATACTTTTGGCAATATAGTGTATAATACATGGAAAAAAATTAATGCAGGGGCTTCTGTGGTTTGCCTTAGGGAGTCCACTGTTGCAAGTCAATGTTTTCCTCTGTTTTCATGTTTGTAAATCATTAATTAATAAAATGTACTTAGCTTTACAGGTAAACTATGTTAATGAAGTCAGGATGTTATCAGTTTTTACAGGTTCTAATATTTTTTCAAGGTAAACAGAATGTTTAAAGTGGCATAACTTTTTTTTGCAAAGATTATAGTCATATCTTTAACTCACATGTCTTGCTTGATCTTTCATCAGGTCATATTTTTTGGAGATGGCCATTTTAAATGAAATAACAGCCAATTCGCCTTTTCAGTTGTATGGGTAAAAGCATAATAGAAAAACATAATTCTCTCCAGGTGTGGCAATTCCAAACCACATGGTTATTCAACAGCTGGTTAGGCAAGCTGGCTGTTAAGACAACAGGCACAGACATCTATTGAAGTTCATTTTGCAAAAAAAGTGGTACTTATAAGAAACTGGACCAAACACAGCATAGGATGTGGCCCATAATGAACATTTTTCTGTAATCATTACTGTCAAGATTGCAGCTGCAACAGAGCAATGTTTTCTTGATGCTCTTTATTACTTCCCGAAAGAGCTGTTATAAATTAAGATTTCAACATCTGGATGCAGTAAGAGCTTTTCTTTCTTTTTCATTTTTTATGTGTTTTTGCATCACATTCTTATTTATCTCATTTGCCATGTACACAGCGTAAATTAGTGATACTTGACAGGCTAATATCTTTGTAATCTGAGCAGATTTACAGAGATACAGTCTTGCCTAAACATACATCTAAAGGTTTAGGTCACAGTGAATGTAAAATATTGTACATTTCTGAGTTGATTTTTCTTGCAAGTGTCTAACTTAACAAGACAACAACATTTCCTGTTTAAGTTTGTATTTTTTATTTTTTTTTATCCCTCATCATGGAAAGTCTTTTTTATTCTTTCTAATTGGGGACTTTTTGATATCAGAAAACAACAGCTTTTGGCACTTGTTTAAAATTATTTCTTATTTTATTTGTGTTTTTCAAAAAAGTTTTTGTTTTTGTTTTATCTAAAATTTTGCAAATATTTAGTTCTTAATGAATTCCTTTTTTAATCCTAATTAAAGTCAGTTCTGGATCAGTTTGACTGTCTAATAATATCCTACCAGCGGGCAATGGGCAGATACCATCCATCCACTATCTGACACGCTTGTCCCAAGTGGGGTCGCGAGGGGTGCTGGTGCCTATCTCCAGCAGTCAATGGGCGAGAGGCGGGGTACACCCTGGACAGGTCGGGGCAGGTACCTTACTGCAAATATTCATCTGAACAGAAGAACCTGGCATCACTGAGAATCTGTACATGATAATCAAGCAAGGATCAGAGTTGTGAAGGTCCACAATTCTCTTTTGGATATGTTGGTATTTATCCATGTGAATCAGAAGTTTACAAAACCATATCATCGTCATTTTAATTTATAACTGTTTTTGTTTGCAGTGTTTTTGTAAAGCTTTTGTAAAGGTACAAAAAAGACCAAAAAACTTTTTACATCTTTTTGAAACTTTTTACTTGGATTCAACTTAATTTCTTATAACTTAAATAACAATGCAAGCTTAATACAGTACTACCAGTCTATCTCACTGTTGTTCTTTACAAAACCAGGATACAGTAGTTGAAGTTTGGTGCCTTTTATAGAACAATTTAAAGAAAACAAGAACTGGCTGTACTTTCTGTGAACTCTATCAAACAATGTAAGAAGCGATTTATCTAGCCCCATCTTCTAAAACAGGCTAAAATATTTAAAACGTCCTAAGAAGAGGAGTTTGTTGCAGCTGTTGTTCCTATTCTTAGTGTGGAAGTACCAAGAGCCTTTAAATGTATTTATTCTCAATTCATGAAATGAATTATCTGTAACTTGCTCACTTTTACTTCTGTCCTCTCTCTCTATTTCCCTTCCACTCTGCCTCCACATTTGCTGTCCTCTTTTTTAAATCTATGTCATTTTACCTCAATTTCCATTCCTTCTTATCACCATCTGCTCTGTTTCTCTGCACCCACCTCCGTCTCTCTCCCTGCTGTGCAGTGGAAGGCCAGTGGTTGGAGTGGGGCGCCTGGTCAAAATGTAGTGTAACCTGCAACACTGGGACCCAACTGAGGCAGAGGCGCTGCAGTCCGTCAGTGCATGGCTGGGCTGAGTGTAAGGGGCCCCATCAGGAGAGCAAGGAATGCACCAACCCTTCGTGCAGTGGTAAGGCAGGAAAAAAGCAGTTGGTTTTGGTGCTTTATGTGCCTTTGGACAGCAATATGTCTTTTGCATTTATTCAAAGCATGCTTTTTCCTTTCCACATGCAGCTTAAAATTGTGTTTTTGGGTTAGGGGCTAATTTGGGTACTCCTTTTTACAACAAAAAAATATATATATATATATGTTCCCTATCTTCACTTCTGGTGATATCTCTGTACACTAGGTGGAGGTAACTGGGGCAGCTGGAATCATTGGAGTCTCTGTAGCAAGACGTGTGACTCAGGGTGGCAGCAACGCTACAGGATGTGTGAGGGCAGCGGGGTGAAAGGCTCTCCCTGTGAAGGTTCAGGAGAGGAGGTTAGGTCCTGCAATGAGAAGAAGTGCCCTGGTAAGTGATTCTAATGTCTGTCCTGGGTGTTGGAGGGCTTAAGCCCCTGTCACATGGAAGAAAAACAGACTCATTAGAATCTGATTTTTTTTTTTTTTTGTACACCGAATTTTAAAGACTGAATATTTTCATACATTGAATACCTTTCACTGAATTTTTATTCAGTGTTTAAAATATGGTGTACAAAAAAAAGCAGATTCCAATGGGACTGTTCTTCCATACTGTCACACCTTGACAATGTAGACCTGCGTATGCCTGACGTACGAAAAATTTGGCAAAAACGCTGCCATACATTGGATAAGTTATGGTTATATTTTGTATAAGTTTAGAGCACGCTGAAACATGTTGGCACACGTCGACATATGGCAAGTACATTGAAAGATTTTGAGCATGCTTATCAAGAACTTATCTCCAACATATATCAACGTATTTGACGTGCTTCTAACTTACAGATACTGTGTAATGGCATATTGGCAACTTTTCGGTATAAAAGGGATTTCACTGGAGGAAACTGTCAGTTCTCCTCCAGACTTCATCCCCGTCATAGGGTGAGTGGGATGGATCTTACCTTCTTTCACGCCCACGGCCACGACCAACAAACTTCCTGGCAGACATGACCCTGAATCTGCTTTGACTGCAAACCCTCTTCCTTTCTGTCTTTTTCTTGTTTTCCTTATTCTTTTTTTTTTTTCCGGCGCATGGTAAACAGCAGCTAGGTTAATACCGCGATCAGAGAAATCTTTTTATGAAGACCGGGCACCACCTCTCCTGAGGGGTGCAACAATGCGCCTGAGGGGAGCAGCTTTAACTGATGCTTCGTAATGCCCATGAAATGATGTTTGTGCATCATTTCATGGGCATTACGCTGCCATGAGTTATGCATAAGTTAGGCTGTCGTTGGACATTAATTCTGGACTCAAAATTGAAAAATACATAGAAAGTTAAGATTCTGGGACATCAGGCATACTCTGGCTAAATTGTCAAGGTGTGACAGGGCCCTTAGATAAAGTTAAACCATAGCTTCCTTAAGAATGATAAATCAAACATTGTAGTTTTTCTCAGTATTAACACTCTAATATATATAACTTTTTTTTTTTGCATATTTTACTTTAAATTTCAGATTTAAAAGTATATTTCTTTAAATCTAAAGCAAAGTATTTGTCAGGGAAAATTTTGTTTTCTCCATTGGTTCACTTTTCTTTCAGTGACCTTTACTGAAATTGCAGCTTCATTTCTCTCTTCATCTTTTCTGTCTGGCTTCCCTTTTCCCTACATTCTACTTTTTATTTTGCCTCTGTACTGAGTTTTAAATGTCTTTGGCTTGTGATGCTTTCTTTTTATCCTGCCAATGTACTCTTCATCTCTTAAACAATGCTTTTTATACACTTCCTTTTCCTGTATACTTTATCCTGCTGTGTTTTTTAGTATCTTCTCTTTGCTTGAGGACATTTTACTCGAAACTTCAATTGGTATTTGTCACTGTTCCCTGACTTATGCCGCCTGAATATGCCAGTCTATTTTTTGAGTGCCACATGTGCATGTGATTGCTTTTGAGCTTAAAGGGAGGCTACAAACGTTAAAGTTCCACTGTGACACCTCCTTTTGTTTTAGGATTCACTCCGGGTTCTTCTGTAAAACAATAAGATCTCATCTAGTGGAATTGCAGGAGAACATAATATCCTATTTTCCCTCTGTGTGTCTTTGCTCTTTGCTCTCTGTCCCTCTTCATCTCCCTTCATCTGCCTCTGCCAGCATTCATCCCCCCCTTGGACTCTCTTCAGAGTGTTCGCTTCTGTTTTTTCATCACGGCTATGAAAGGGCGGGAGGGAAGAAGGGCAGAAATAGATGAATAAAAAGAGGGGATAAGATGAAGAGGGAATGAGATACTGCATTGAGTCAATGTCACTGACAGAGAGCACTGCGAAAGGGAATAAAATTGTGAGCCACTGCAGGAGCCCTCAGATTTGAATCTTGTTTTTTGGCTTTTCTGTCTCCTTTTTCATCTACTGAGTATGTGTGACTCTATTTGCTAGCTAGACTGTGCTACATTTTTCATTCAATGCTCCCTTTCTCCTCCACAGCTCCTCATGAGATATGCAAAGATGAGAACCTCCTTTCAATGTCATGGAAGAGAGCCTCAGCAGGAGAGACTGTCTACAACAAGTGTCCAACAAATGTTATCGGTCAGTGACACATCATTCAAGAAATAACTGTGTGTAGCAGCTGATTGTGTGCTATTCACTTTGATGGCACCTTCTGGTAAAGTTGTACCATATAAAAACATATTATATATAAGCATTTATAGCAGAAAGACAATTTAAGTCTGAAAGATAAATAAACTTGGGGACTAAATTTTTCACTGTATCTAAAACCATGTGCTTTAAGATTGAAAAAAGATTAAGCTATGCTACCTAACACCCCTAGTTAATATGCAACAAAGTGATGCTCTGACCCTGTTAATCTAACAAAGCCCAAGGGAGGTATGCTGAGATGCTTAGAATTAACTCTCTTTCTGCTAGTGTATTGCTAAGGGACCCGAATACAGACAGAAGTTAAGCAAACTGTTGGGGAAAGTGAAGGTTTAATAAAATAATGGGTCCAAAATCAAATATATACAAGCAACAAATGTAGTAAAGGAATTTAGGCCGTTGTACGAAACATGAAACACGCATGGGAGCGTGACAGAAACGCAAGACTCCCACATGATTATGAATGAGAGAGAAAGGTGATAAAGAGAACAATGAACAGGTGAGTCAAATTAACTAAATAGGTTGCAGCTGTTTGGGAGTATAAAGAATGATGGAGGATGAAAAAAAGATCTTAAATAGACTATTACAGCATTTTAAGGGAATGAAGGAAAAATATCTGAACATTAACAGAGAGACATGGGAATGAGTGAAATAAAACCAAACAGACAAAACTCAACATAGTTCTATGAGATTGTGACAGTTTATTCTAAAATAAAAATCGAATGGTTGCCATCAGCTGTTATGGACTTGCGACCTGTCCAGGGTGTACCCTGCCTCTCGCCTGTAAACAGCTGGAGATAGGCACCAGCACCCCATGTGACCCCGCTTTGGATAAGCGTGACGGAAAATGGATGATTGCCATCAGGACTCAACATGCAATACATTGGGTCAAACCAATACTGAGATGTATTATCAGACACAATATGAACCTTCTTTTGAGGTCATCTTCTTCACCAGACATACAGTTAAGCATAAAATAACCAACATTTTTTTTTTTAAATGGCAGTGATTTTAAAATTGTAGAGAGGCCGTACAGGAGTGCTGTCCTAAATCAGTGGATGGAGCTAAAAATCAGGATAAAGCCATTGAAGACCTCAAACCTTGGAGTTGTGATGCCAATATTTTTTTCCAATTGCTGTTAAAATGGTTATTAAAAGATTTCAAAGCAAACTTTAATACAACATAAATCCAACGCATATACATACATATATATAAATATATATATATATATATATATAATAATATATATATATATATATAAATATATATATATTTGCTTTTTTTCTTGCTTTTTCCTGATTATTTTTCCATTACCTTTTAAGAGATGACTCTTTCAATTTATATCTAAAACAAAGTTGGCTGAATAAAAGGGATGTTAGACAAAACATGTTCTAAATGATAGCATTTTGCTGGCTATAGACATTACATAACGCCCACAAAAGAACTGTACATATATTGCACCTTTATCGTGTTTAGCTTTTTTTTTTTTTTCCAAATCTTTTTTTCTTTTTTTTCAGGATCTGCTAGTCGTCGATGTATGCTGGATAATAACGGAGTTGCTTTCTGGGGTCCTCCGAGCTTCGCCAGATGCGTCTCACTTGAATATAGACAACTACATTTAGCTGTAAGTCAGTTTTAATCATATATTCTTCCTCAGTCTCAGAACTATTCAATTCAATTCAATTCAGTTTATTTATATAGCGCCAAATTCACAACACATGTCATCTCAAGGCACTTTACAGTTCAACCAGATCATACAGTCAAATTGATACAAAGTTTTCTATCTAAGGAAAACCAGTTGATTGCATTGACTCATTGACTCAAATACAATCCCCCACACTAAGCATGCTTGTAGCGACAGTGGAGAGGAAAAACTCCCTTTTAACAGGAAGAAACCTCCAGCAGAACCAGGCTCAGTGTGAGCGGCCATCTGCCGAGGCCGACTGGGGTTCAAGGAGACAGAAGCAGAGATACAAAAAGCAGCTGTAAAAGGCGGCCCCGTCCAGGAAACACACAGCCAGGCAGACGAGCTCCAAGGCAGCTCCCATGCCAGAGGACGAAGAGAGCACATCCACTCAGTCACGGTCAGAGAAACAGGACCACACTGGAAAACAGGCCGATCTCCAACATCTATTAACAAGGGTGTTGATAGAAGCAGCACAGCTGATGTTTTTTTCCAGGATGACGTCACAGCCAAACAGGAACAGACGAGGCAAAGCTACTCTGAGGAAAAGCAGAGAGAGCAGAAGGTTAGAGATTGAACTAACAGATTCTGCAGAATAGGAGAACAGAGAGAGAATGAAGCAGAATGATGAAATGGGGGTCCCTATGTCCTCCAAAAGTCTAAGCCTATAGCAGCATAACTATAGAGATAGCTCAGGATAACCTGAGCCACCCTAACTATAAGCTTTATCAAAAATGAAAGTTTTAAGCCTAGCCTTAAAAGTAGACAGGGTGTCTGCCTCACGGACTAAAACTGGTAGTTGGTTCCACAGGAGAGGAGCCTGATAACTAAAAGATCTGCCTCCCATTCTACTTTTAGAAATTCTAGGAACCACTAGTAAACCTGCAGATTGAGAGCGAAGTGCTCTGTTAGGAACATAAGGAACAATCAGATCTCTGATATAAGATGGAGCTTGGCCATTTAAGGCTTTATATGTGAGAAGGAGGATTTTAAATTCTATTCTGGATTTAACAGGAAGCCAATGAAGAGAAGCCAGGATAGGAGAGATATGATCTCTCTTTTTCATTTTCATTAGAACTCTGGCTGCAGCATTTTGGATCAGCTGAAGGCTTTTAACTACAGTTTGTGGACTTCCTGATAGTAAAGAATTACAATAGTCCAGCCTTGAAGTAACAAATGCATGGACTAGTTTCTCAGCATCACCCCTGGACAGGATATTTCTAATTTTTGCAATGTTCCTCAGATGAAAGAAGGAAATTCTAGAAACCTCTTTGATATGGGATTTAAATGACAGGTCCTGATCAAAAATAACACCAAGATTTTTTACTTTATTATCTGAAATCAGTTTAATCCCATCCAAATGAAGTGACTGGCTAATCAGTTTCTTTTTCAGAGACTCTGGTCCAAAGACTATAACTTCTGTTTTGTCTGCATTCAGAAGCAGAAAGTTAAGAGTCATCCAGGTTTTTATGTCTTCAAGACATGCCTGTAATCTATGTAATGGGTTAGCTTCATCTGGATTTATAGACAGATATAGCTGGGTATCATCAGCATAACAGTGGAAATTAATCCCATGCTGTCTAATAATTCTACCAATTGGGAGCATGTATAAAGTAAAGAGAATTGGTCCTAGCACTGATCCCTGTGGTACTCCACAGGTAACCTTTGAGCGTGTTGAAGATCTATCATTAACATGAACAAACTGAATTCGATCAGATAGATAAGATTTAAACCAGTCTAGTGCTGTTCCTTTAATTCCAACAAAATATTCAAGTCTTTCTAAAAGAATATTATGGTCAACTGTATCAAATGCAGCACTAAGATCCAACAGGACGAGCACAGATACAAGTCCATTATCTGAGGCCATGAGAATATCATTAGTGACTTTCACCAGAGCTGTTTCAGTGCTATGATGAGCTCTAAAGCCAGACTGAAACTCTTCAAAAAGTTCATTATGGTGGAAGTGATCGCAAACTTGTTTGGCAACTACTTTCTCAAGAATTTTGGATAAGAAAGGAAGATTGGATATAGGTCTATAATTGACCAAGTCATCTGGGTCAAGAGACGGTTTCTTAAGCAGAGGTTTAATTACAGCAATCTTAAAAGCTTTAGGTACATATCCCTGTAACAGAGATAGATTAATCACATCTAAAATGGAGGAGGAGATCAAAGGGAATACCTCCTTAAATAACCTGGTTGGAACTGGATCTAACATACAAGTTGAAGGCTTAGATGAAGACAATAATTTTGCTAATTCAGAGAGTTCAACTGGATCAAAGCAGTCTAAACCCGGTTCAGATTCCATGACTACCTCAGGTACAATCGCGGATAGAGGAGTGCTTATGATCTTATTTTTAATAAGATCAATCTTATTTATAAAGAATCCCATAAAATCATTGCTGCTAAGAGCAGGTGGAATGGACGGTTCAACAGAGCTATGGCTCTGGGTGAGTTTGGCAACTGTATTAAAAAGAAATCTAGGATTATTCTTATTCTCCTCTATTAATGAGGAGAAGTATGCTGCTCTTGCTTTACAAAGGGTCCTCTTATACAGCAGTAAACCATTTTTCCAGACTAGGAAGGACTCTCGCAGGCCTGTGGAGCGATATTTTCTCTCCAGTTTCCTAGCATTTTGCTTCAAAGTACGCAGCTCTGCATTAAACCAAGGAGCAAGCTTTCTATTTTTAACGGTTTTCATTTTCAAAGGAGCTGCGTTGTCTAAGGCAATACGCAGAGAACTAGCAACCCCCTCAACAAAATCATCAACCTGTGAAGGGGAATAAGCTAAGCTTTTGCACTCTGCAGCACTGCTCAGTGACACAGAGCAGAGAGAAAGTGAAGCAGATTCTTTAAAATTTATAACTGCACTATCTGATAAAGATCTACTAAAATTGAACCTTCTTTTGGGGGAGGAGAACTCTGTTAAAGTCATTCTGAAGGTTATTAGAAAGTGGTCAGAGAGGACAGGGTTGTGAGGAAATACTGTTATTTCTTCACATTCTATGCCGTATGTCAGCACAAGATCCAAAGTATGAAGATGAGAATGCGTGGGACTATTCACATTTTGAAAAAAGCCAATAGTGTCTAAGATAGCATTAAAGGCTGCTCTTAAGCTATCGCCTTCAATGTCAGCATGGATGTTAAAATCTCCCACTATGATGACCCTGTCAGTATTTAATACCAAATCAGAAAGGAACTCTGAAAACTCATCTAAAAATTCAGAGTAAGGACCTGGTGGACGATACAAAGTTACAAAAAGAAGAGGTTTTCTTGCCTTGAAATTTGGATCAGGGAAATTAAGGGTTAAATGTTCAAAAGAGTTGTAGGAATTAATTGTTTTGGGAGTAATCAGTAAGTCAGACTCGAAGATTGTTGCTACTCCTCCTCCTCGCCCAGAACTTCTGGGGATGTGAAAATTTAAATAGCTTGAAGGAGTTGCCTCATTTATGCTCACATAATCCTCTTGCTGCAGCCAGGTTTCTGTAAGGCAAAACAAGTCAATGTGATTATCACAAATCAAGTCATTAACTAGTAGACTTTTAGAGGAAAGCGATCTTATGTTAAACAGACCGCATTTAATTGTTTTAACTTTTTCCCCAATTGGAGTTATTTTGATTTTAATTAGATTATCATGATTTACTCCTTTGGGAATCTTTGCTAATTTATTAGATTTTGGTCGTGGGCAAGACACTGTCTGGATGGAGTAAAGAGTGGGTAACAGTAGAGAAGCTGCAGAGATGTGTGTTAAACTACAACTCTGCTTCCTGGTCTGCACCCTGGGTGGTCAGGGTTTTGGAGGACTAATAAATGTGGCCAGATTCCTAGAAAGAAGAGCTGCACCATCCAAAGTGGGATGGATGCCGTCTCTCCGAATCAGACCAGGCTTTCCCCAAAAGGATTGCCAATTATTAATGTAGCCCACGTTGTTTTCAGGGCACCACCTAGACAACCAGCGATTGAATGACGACATGCGGCTAAACATGTCATCACTGGTCAGATCAGGGAGGGGACCAGAGAAAATTACGGAGTCCGACATTTTTTTGGCAAACTTACACACCGAAGCAACACTAATTTTAGTGACCTCCGATCGTCGTAACCGGGTGTCATTACCACCAGCGTGAATAACAATCTTACTGTATTTAACCTTATCCTTAGCCAGTAGTTTCAGGTAGGATTTGATGTCGCCCGTTCTGGCCCCCGGCAAACATTTGACTATGGTCCCTGGTGTCTCTAATGCCACGTTTCTGACTATGGAGCTGCCAATCACCAGAGTGGGCTTCTCAGTGGGTGTGTCACTGAGTGGGGAAAACCGGTTAGAAACGTGAACGGGTTGGTGGTGACCAGTGGGCAGAGATCCACGACTACGCTTTCTACGTACAGTTACCCAATCGCCTGGCTGCTCAGGCACTTTTGGAGGACAGCTACGTGGGGGGCCTACTTCAACAGCCTGAAGCCTGGATTCTAACTCTGACACCCTCGCCTCCAAAGCTACAAAAATACTACACTTATTACACATCCCATTATCACTAAAGGAGGCAGAGGAATAACTGAACATCTGACACAGAGAGCAGGAGAGAGGAGAGGAAGAAGGAAGAGTTGGAAAAGAGTCAAGGGAGGGAGAGAGAGAAGCCATAGCAATGCTAAGCTAGCGCTAGCCTAGGCTAGCTACTTCTTGCTATCAGAAATAAAACCGTGTGAAACTGACAAGTGCTCAGTAGAAAAGTGCAGCAGAAGGTGCTATGTTTTAAAGTAGTCAGTTAGAGTTACTTAGATACAGAGATATCACAGAGAAAATAACTTAACTTCAGATGGAGATCCTCTGAACAGCTGCACACTCAGTTGCACACTCAGTTAATCCAAACAGCACTACTTTTTTATTTATTTATAAATTGCTAAAAATGTCAAGAACACAATATACTTCAATGAAATCAAACATCTGTGAAATCAATCTGTCCAATTACAGTAGGAAGCAACACTGATTGACAATCAATTTCACATACTTTTGTCCAAATGTTGTGCAAATGGAATGGACAACTAGTGGAAATGATTGCCGTTTAGCAAGACAGACTCAATGAATGATTGGTTCTGCAGGTGGGGACCACAGACCACTTCTCAATGCCTTTGCTTTTTGGCTGTTGTTTTGGTCAGCTTTGAAAGTCTGTGGTGCTTTTACACTCATGGTAGCATGAGAATGACTTTACAATCCACACAACTGACTCAGGTAGTGCAGCATATCCAGGATGGCACATTAATGTGAGCTGTGGCAGAAGATTAACAGTGTCTGTCAGCGTAGTGTCACAACACTGGAGGTTCTACCAGGATAGAGGCAAGTGCACTAGGAGATATGGAGGAGGGCATAGAAGGGCAGGAACCCAGCAGCAGGTCCGCTACCTTCATTTTGTGCAAGGAGCTACAGGAGGGACACTGCAAAATGACCTCCTGCATGTCACAAATGTCCATGTGTCTGCACAAACAGTTGGATACCAACTCCATGAGGATAGTATGAGGGCCTGACGTCAACAAATGGGGATTGTGCTCCCAGCCTAACACCATGCAGGATGCTTGGGATTTATGCAGGGAACACCAAGGTTGGCAAATTCACCACTGGCACCCTGTGTTCTTCATATGAGCAGAATAACACTTAACAGATGTGACAAAATCTAGAGAAACCATTAGAGAGCGATCTGCTGCCTGCAACATCCTTTAGCATGAGCTGTTTGGCAGCGGGTCAGTAATGGTGTGGAGTGGCATTTCTTTGGAGGGGCGCACAGCCTTCCATATGCTCGCCAGAGGTAGCATGACTGCCCCTGGGTACCAGGATGAGGTCCTCAGACCCCTTGTGAAACCATATGCGGGTCGGGTTGTTCCTGGGGTGCACCTGATGCAGGACAATGCTAAACCTCATGTGGCTGGAGTGTGTCAGCAGTTCCTGCAAGATAAAGGCATTGTAGCTATGGACTGACCCGCCCTTCCACAGACCTGAAACAGATTCAGCACATCTGGGGGTCACGTCTCCATCCATCTACTAACGTCACGTTGCACCACCGAATGTCCAGGAGTTTTTAGATACTTTAGTCCAAGTCTGGGAGGTGATTTCTCAGGAGACCATCCACTACCTCATCAGAAGCATGCCCAGGAGTTGTCGGGAGGTCATACAGGCACATGGAGGCCACACACAACGCTGAGCCTAATTTGAATGTGTTTTAAGGACATTATTTCAAAGTTAGATCAGGCTGTAGTGAAGTTTTTCCACTTTAATTTCTTTCTGTGATTCCAAATCCAGGACAGTTGGTTAATACATTTGATTACCATTGATGATTTTTGTGTGATTTTGATAGCAACACATTGAACTTTGTACAGAACATTAATAAAGGAGAATATTTCATCCATTCAGATCTAGGATGTGTTATTTAAGTTTTCCTTTTATTTTGAGGAGTTTATGATAAACCCAGACATGGAGGAAAAATACCAATATTGATCCAGCTTACATCATTTGATTTAATTAATTTCAGAATCAACTAGACAGATAATTTATTGCTGAAATAAATAAGGCGTTTTTCTAAGTTTTCTTCATCTTTTAGACAACATTCTTGGTATGCTGTACCTGCAATCAACTTTACTTTTCACAGGTTTTCTCAAAATAGAAAATGAACAATCTCTTTACTCTAGGCTTCAGTTCCCACTATCTCTAATTAGATTTCCCAGGGTGTTGCACTCACACTTATCAATTAATGAACTGAGCTAATGAATGTGTTCATCAGGGAGACTCTTTTCCTGCTCTGTGAACCTCAACCTTTTCTAGCTTCTCCATGATGGTGGAAGAAGATGGGGGTCAGGGATTATACGTAACAGATCTGTTTGCACTCTTACCTACAGTTCCAACCTTTTATTAACACCGGAATTAAATTATTCATTTTGTGTGAAGCTGTTATCTTCTGTTCTTCCACTCTGCACTTTGCATCAGACTCTCTCACTCTATGTTTCAAACATGACTGTTCTCTCACAACTTCTTGCACTTATGATCCAGTTGTTGTGAGCCTGCTGCTCCACCTTTCCTTTCTTATCTGTTTGTTTCACAGACACAAAAGCTTTCTGCTTGACCATGTCCTGAATTTTTAACTGCTACTGTTACTTCAGGAAACAAACTGAATTAGGTTAGGATGGAAATATATTGGGGAAAATGTTCTTAGGCATTGTCTTCCCAAATTTGGCAAGGAGTTGTTATTTAAAGGTCATTGGAAATACGGTGCCTCCTGAGATAAAATCAATGTTATTGTACTCTTAGGTAATTCACGCGTGTAATTTCTTTTTACCATTTGTAATTAAATGTCATTTTGTGTTGCTGAGAAGTCACAAAGCTACTATCCTTTATACTCTCAAGAGTGCAATTTTATAATTTTTAAAAATAAACACAAAAAGGTCCCTTTATATAATCCTATTAATTTAGTTTCCACAGTTAAAAATTAATAGTGTGAAAATGAATGACATTTGTCAATAAAGTATCCTACTCACTAACTAGCCCTTATTTGGAAAACAGGTATTTACATTTGGAATACAAAAAAAAAAAAAAAAAAAAAAAAAAAAAAAAAAAAAAAAAAATATATATATATATATATATATATATATATATATATATATATATATATATATATATATATATATATAACTATTGCATTGGTCTATAATGTGTGGTTGGTTTAGTTTGTTTTGTGTGCATGTAGACTCCCACACTTCAATTAACTGAACCTTTAAAAAACAAACTTGTTCTACTTTTCTTGTTGTTGTTGTTTGTTTTATTTATTTGCATTGCTCCTTAGTAATTTTAGGGAGTCACATTTAAAACCCATCAGGTCAACATTTTATTTATAAATTGTTAAATAAATTAAATCGTTGCATATTACTTAGACTAACCTTGAACTTTGTAAAAGGCTTCCAATGTAAAAAATAATACTCAAACAAAAAATTTGTAGTATTTTTATGCGCATTGCATTTTTGTTATGGTTGTTGTTTTTAGTCAAAGGTGAAGCTCTCCTTTTCCTAAATGTCTCTATTTCTCAATGCATTGTAGTTACTAGAGCATCTTGCGAAGGGTCAGAGGACCCTGGCCGGGGAGGGGATGTCTCAGATCGTACGGAGTCTCCTGGAACTTTTGCAGAGGAGGAGCTACTACAGTGGCGACCTTCTCTTCTCCACGGAGATCCTGCGAAATGTGACGGACACCTTCAAAAGAGCAACCTACATCCCAGCTTCCGACGACGTGCAGGTAGGGAGACTCTTTTTTTGTATTACTGTAAGAGTATCAACTTTTCTTTTTCACTGGTTGTGATTAACAAATTATGGTTGTGTGTGACACAGAGCAGACTGCTACTTAGAATTCCCTCTTATTTTAAGCTACATTTATGTGCTTGAACCTTTCAAATTTTGCCATACAGTATTAAAACCCTAAACTTCAAAAGGTTAAAGATCAACACAAACTTAGATTTAGACAAATGTTAGACAGAGTAATGCATGTTTGTAAAATTAAAGTTTAGAGAAGGCTATCAATTTTTACGTTTTGTTTTTCTTCTGACATGCATTCCCAATAAATAATTTACTTAATAAAACCTTTTCATAAACATATAAACTCACAGTATAGCTTTTCTCTAACCGCCCTTCAGAACAGTTAAAAGAAAGTCTGTGATCAAAGATCATCATATAGACAGTGTTTTACACAAAGGAGGTCAGGAAACAAATTTAGATCAAGTTTAAAGCAGAGCATAATTGGTTTCTGAAATTATCTTTCATGTGTTGCCCATAAAGAGCAAAGTAAAATCGTCAGTAATCCCACCGTTTCTCTAATGGAGGTTCAGTGACCAGCAGGAAGGAGAGTCTATTTCTAGGGAAACTTTCTGTGGTTTTACCCAAAGTTCTGCTCTTTATGGATACGTGACAAAAAGAACAAATATCACCGCAATCAAATGTGAACTTGCTAAACAATTACTATTTTATGTATAGATTTTAGTGGCAGCTAAATCCAAGGCAGAAAACTAGATTAGTTGGGTATTCAACTCTGTCCAATTCAAACCCCCTGATCATCCAGTCTAAACCACAATGTAAGAATTTATATTGTATCATACTGATGTGTTTGCAGTACATAGTATGGGCTCATCAGAGCCAGATACAAATGCATTCTTAGGCTCAGTACATATTTCATTCTCTGGTTTTGGAAAAATACTAAATTCTTTTTGCTTCTCCTTCCAAATAATGAACAATTTTTCCACCAAAAATATTTGTCTAAACTTTGTGAAAAAAATGCTTTGACTAAGTGTGTTTCTTAAAGCACCCTTCTAAGTTTTCAATAAAAAAGTTTAACTTGCCCTGTGCATTCAAAGTTGATCATATTGTCACCTTTCTATCTGAACTTCTTCCTCCTGTTTTTAGAAATTCTTCCAGATTATTAGTCATATGTTGGACTTGGAAAATCTTGAAAAGTGGGAGGACGCACATCAGGTAAAATGTTTACCTATTAATTATTCTAAATCTATTCTTATGAAGACTTTTTTTTTTTTTTTTTTTGGAGGGGTAGGGTAAGTTCAAAATCCCCAGCAGTCTATGGCTGAAAGCATGGGCTTCTATTTCATTCAGAACTATGATTCTAATATATATATTTTTTGCTTTCTGTCAAATAAGTGAAGCATTAAGTTAAATATTTAAAGCATTGTTTCTCAACTAAATGTAATATTTTCTTAGGTTGCTTTTGACATTAATTGAAACCCGTAAGATTATACTGATTAAATATTCAGTGTAAAAAAACAAAACAAAAGGAGTAATTGTGAGGCAAATATTTCTTCACTGTATGTAAGCTGGTTGTTGATATACTGCAGACATGAAAGGATTTCATGTTTCAAAAAATGCATGCCCTGTCTTTATAGTTCAACCTTTGAAAGAAAAACATGGAGACCTGCTAACAAAACAGGCCAGTTTGAGTGAAGCTTAAAAACAATATTGTGCATTAACTGCTAATGGTTTTAACTGTCTCTGGCTATTATTTTTTTTTTTACACAAACTCATCTTAGAATGGCTTTTATACCTGAGAATAGTATGTTCCTTTGTGGCTTCTGCGTAGGACCTTAACACCAATATGGAAAACCAAGGAACTTCATGTTCTTACCAAATTAAAAACAAGGGATTTTATTAAATCATGTTTCAAAGTTGGTTTTGATTTTTTTATCAATCAATCATATGACCTACTTTTTTAATCTTTCCATTTACAGGTCGCTCCTGGTGCTGCTCTGCTGATGAGAATATTAGAAGATTTTATTCATTTCATTGGAGAAGCACAAAAGCCTTTTCAGAGTTTCCTAACAGTCACAAACAATCTCAGTAAGTCCAAGGACTACTAATTTCAGTCATGTATGACAGATAAAGTTATATGATACTGAGTTCAGATATTAAATAATTTAGAGCTTCTTTCCCACCCAGTCAAAAGTTGCATGTATATTTTAGTACCCTGTGCAAACATTTCATCTTATCTCTCTATGGTATATATATATATATATATATATATATATATATATATATATATATATATATATATATATATATATATATATATATATATATATATATATATATATATATATATATTATTTTTTTTTTTATTAACTGAAGAGTTTTTTAGTCTTTTGCTTTTTTTCAGGCACTACTTTTTGCAAAATTGTATCAAGTTTATCGATTTTTTTTTGTTTTCTTTTCTTTAGTGATAACAATACAAAGAGAGCCAGTATCAGCAGTGTCAAGTGATATTAACTTTCCCATGAAGGGACGACGAGGGATGAAAGACTGGGCCAGGACAGCCGAGGATAAACTCTATATCCCTAAAGATGTCTTTACAATGCCTGCTGAGGGTAAGATAGTCGTTACAGATACTATCATTTGCCTGAAAGTGATTTTTTTATTCCAGATTTTATAAGTCTTCTCTTATTTTATTAAAGACCAGATAATAAAGTGAATATTAATACAAAAAATGAACATAATCATAGAGAAACAGTTAATGACACCAGACACAAGTAGAAAAAAGCTTTGGAAGTTATTGCTGTAATATTTTTTTGAGCACGGTAATGAGTACAGTATATAATATATGCATAAAAAGTGAAGTTATAAGAAAAAGAATGATTGCAAATTGAGACGACTGTGGAGCAAATCCTATTTATGTTTGGGTGTAATTTTTTAAAGGCGTGGACTTTTGTTGGTGTCTGTGCTTCAAATAGCACGACTGTTGAACAGTGGCTCAAATGTTTCCATTCATATGATATTATATCCTCAGTTAAATTTGAAATAGAGGTTTAAGATGATGAAAGATCAATTTAAAGGAAAATAAAAGCGATTGTTGCCTGATACGATCATTTGAATTAATAAATGAAACAATTATTGAATAAAAACCTTTATGCCAGAGAATCCAGTAACATTACTAATTGAACACACACAAAAAAAACATCATTTATAATTAAATTAATGGAGGATTTTTTTTTTCAAACAATCCAGTCAAATTACAAATATAAAACACGTAAACATTTCAAACTGGAGAGACTCACACAAAGAGCGAAGATGCAATTGAAAGTTTTTTTTTGACATGAATGAAATAAGTTATATGGCACTCAAACATTCGCTTGGATGAGTAACTTAGGAAAAGGATTAGAGTCGTCTTCCTCCCAGGGCCCTGGACATTGGTGGTGTAATAAGCTAAAGGATGAGTGGGACTGAGAATAGCCTGAGAGTAAGGTAGGAGAGTGGAGGTGGGTGAAGGTTCAGCAGTTGTGCATGAGGGAAGCGGGGTCAGTTCATGATTGAAGGGGATCTTGAAAGATAATTCACTTCAGATGGGGTGTGGTCCCAAAGTTGAATGGCTGGAGCTTAAACATGGCACATCAGTAGGATGTCCAGGTGATCAGTCTTCCAGATTTTATTTTTTCTTAAGCTTCGTTATGGATAAATACCTATATATATATATATATATATATATATATATATATATATATATATATATATATATATATATATATATATATATATATATATATATATATATATATATTAGGGGTGGAACGGTTCACAAAATCCACGGTTCGGTTCGGTTCGATTCGGTATATGTTGATTGTTACACCGAAATCCCGTAAAAATTTATGAAATTAATGAAAAAATCCCCCAAAAAATAATGGATTGTAATTATTTTAAATGATCCGCGGAAACCCTGGATCATTTCCGTATGTTTTGCTGCTTTGAATTTAATCATCTCGCGCATGCTCTCTACCATCTCCGAGGGACTCAGAGGGGAGCGGATGGGAGCCACAGTGGAGGCTGTAGGCTTTGCTTTGAGCAGCCGGTCTGGAGCGCAGCGTTTCTGACGGAGTGTGAGGGATTTCGGGGTTAGCATGACATGTTGGTCATGTTGCTGTTAGCATAAACAAAACGTGTTGCATAATGCTTGCACACTGTTGCACTTTTATCCACAACTTTCTTTCCGCCGTCATCGTAGGTCACTCTAAATGGAAAGTGGTCCCATACAGCAGACCTATAAAGTGCTGCTGGCGCGTCTTCCAACTCCTGTTCTTTCTCACTCGCCATACCCACACAATTTTCCACAACAACTGATTTTTTCCCCCTGCTACACCCGGCTAAGCTGCTTCGCTTCTTCTTCTTCTTGTTTACTACTGGTGGTTGGCTTTGGTCGCAGTACCGCCACCTTCTGCTCTGGAGTGTAATCGCTTCCTCTATGAGAAAAAGGAGCAGCGCATGAACCGAACGAGTGAATCGAACCGAGACAGTCGAACTGAACGGTTCGGACGGTTTTCATAAATCGTCCCATCCCTAATATATATATATATATATATATATATATATATATATATATATATATATATATATATATATATATATATATATATATATATATATATATATAATGTGTATTATTAAGTGCTTATGGGTTGCTTAAAGGGATAGTTCGGGATTTTTGACATGAATCTGTATGGCATCCCCATCACCAGTGTCATGCAATCACACTGACTTACCCCTGGCAGCATCCTGTGAGCAGAGTTCTTGTCCAGCTTTGGTCAAGCCGAAAGTAGTCCGGCAGGTTTGCTAGACCCAGCGAAATAAAACGTTTCTCTTCCCAAAACATTATTTGTTCAAAAGAGTGATATTTTTGCATCCCAAAAACATTGTAGTGGAAAAAGTCACACGTCGTTATCACTTGGTCCTATTTTCTCTCTGTTCGTATCAGTGCGCGCCGTCATTCTGACAGCGAGCTCAACTTTGAGGAGGGCAGGGAAGTCGCTGTTGTTTGTGATGCAGACAGCAGCTGCTGCAACTCCGACATCCTCATCAATGGAAAGGTTCTGTATCTCGGGCATTACTAAATCCCACTCGTGGCAACAGTAGCATCCACCTCTGTCTGCATTAATTCGCACTTGAAACAAGTGCACCATGATTTGTCGGCCACCCTGGATATCGCAGCTCCAGCTGAGGCTCCTGCGGCTCCGGCTTCAGCTTCCATCACTTCTCTGTCCACCCTCTCTCTTTCTGCCCGATCTAACTCAATTTGTCGAAGTTCATCGTCAGTGTACTCGGGTTCATAAAGATATCCCTTTGGCTCTAAGTGGAAGTCGATGTTTTCCTCGTCGCTCTCGTAGTCAGACATCTTCCCCAGTAGTAAACAATCGCGAATCAAACAGGTAGGCCCTTAACCTGACAACAGCCAGATGCATGCCTCGCTCCGCCCAGCTAGGAGCTAGGCGGAGCGAGACATGCATCTGGCTGTTGTCTGGTTAGTAGGCCCTAGCTGTCAGGTCATGGTGTCGCGCGCACTGATACGAACAGAGAGAAAATAGGACCAAGTGATAACGACGTGTGACTTTTTCCACTACAATGTTTTTGGGATGCAAAAATATCACTCTTTTGAACACATAATGTTTTGGGAAGAGAAACGTTTTATTTCGCTGGGTCTAGCAAACCTGCCGGACTACTTTCGGCTTGACCAAAGCTGGACGAGAACTCTGCTCACAGGATGCTGCCAGGGGTAAGTCAGTGTGATTGCATGACACTGGTGATGGGGATGCCATACAGATTCATGTCAAAAATCCCGAACTATCCCTTTAAGGAGCTGAAGAAGTACAGCTTTTTTAAGTTCTCCCCTTCTTATAGTTCTTAAAGCTTGATTTATGCTTGATGCATCCCTGAGGTCTGCACGGCCAAATTGTCATTTTAGCACTCATAACTCTCCACCAGGCCTGCATTTCCTGCTCTGTATAATATTAAATAAAGTAAATATCAATTACTATGTGGAAAATTCCATGTGTAAAAACATGCGTGAGTGACACAATGAGTAACAGCTTCTTTTGGCGACGGTAGGTAAATATAAACACCTTGTCATGATTTAGCCCATAAATATCACCACAATCAAAAGTTTTTGAAGAATTCTTGGACAGAATTACTGTCACTCTTAGATGACGCAAAGAGGCTCTGAAAATGTTGGTAACATCTGTTTTCTACATCTGTTTGTTGTGTTGTAACTTGCTGTCTGTGCCATAACCGCCGCTACCAGATTCAGCCAGAATATCAAGTAAAGATTCAGATTAAAGAAGAAAAAGGCTGAAGATTTCAATGTTGAACGTACATGCTTCAAACATAATTTTGAAGTTAGAGATTTGCCTGAATCTGTCTGTCAAAAGCTAAAGGATCAACGCATGGATGAAGTTATAACAGCTTCTGAGACAAAGATGGCACTTTTCACTTTTCAAGACTAAGACCAGAGAGCAAACTCATTTATCCCGTTTTTTTCTTCCTCACAGGGTGATTTTTACTACGCTTAACATAAATAAAAATTTATAAAAAGTTTTTTGTCCCCATAACCATGGACACCACAAAGCTAACTCCACCTTATGAGTCCAACCTACATTGCAAATAAAAAAAAAATATATATATTAAAAAATTAGCATGTATTTGTCATTTGTGCAGGGTGTATTGTTTTTGTCATATTTGCGATAAGGTTGACGTAAATAAGACGTGCAGTTTCCTTGCATGTCCACTGTAAAAATATTCATCCAGCTTCCTCCTCATATGCAAGAATTTTCACATTGCCAGATGTTTGGGTTTCTTTCTTTCTTTTTTTTTTCTAAACTCTTCATGCTATTGAAAAGCAAATTACATAATTTTTCAAACTGAGGACATTGTAGACACAGGTGTGTGCTCAGTGAAAGGAGACAGCAGCTTTTAAGCAAGTGATTCAAAAATCAAAGAACCAAATGCCATGGTGTTTAATATTAAAACATATGAAGCAAGAACAACATTGTACAAGTGTGAGACAGCGGGATCCAACAAGTAATGTTAATATTAACAACAATAAAAATAATATGGAAAAGATGCATTCTATTTTGTTTTCTGTTTTCTTTTAAAAATGGCCTGATGACTTAGAATTGTATATGATGGCAATTTTCTTTGCAAGTTTTTTAAAGACACGCCCTCTCCACTTTAAGAAAAAATGCACATGCAAAACCCTGTACCCACTCCTAAGAGGGAATGCCTATTAAACACGCGTGAGAGCAAGCAGGAGCCTATTTCTCCTCATGCACTCCATGTTTAAAAGTTGCTGTTTGCATCGCTCATACAAGCTTACTTTCCAAAAGAAGATTTGCAATTTTTCTACTATGTCAGACTCACCTCTAAAAAATGGGGGCAAGCCTTATAAGGAGACCTTACGTAAACGTATCACCAGAATGATTGACAATTAGGAGGACCACCCGGAAAAGAAGCATCCTCCACTATACCTTAAAGTAAACATTGGCAAGCTAAATATTATTTGTCAAAGCATTGTCAATATAAAGGTTTTTACTCCTATAACATTTAAGTT